AAGTCTGAATGGAACAACTACATCAGAGGTATTGGATGGGTCCCTATTGGTTCAATTGGAGTTGAGACTGCCAAGGTTGGTGGTCAGATTCTGAGTGAACACAAGTACCGCACTCATCCATCCAACTTCAAGTTCAAGAAGCTGATGGACTCCATGGACTTGTCTCTGGCTACTGCCAACAACCAGATCATGAACAAGGTGTGGTCCGTTTAACTGTTCCCTAAAGCGCAGGGCCACAAAAATGCTGATAATAATCTGCAGATTGCCATTATCATTAATTTGTTTTTCTGGTGATTGTTTACAGAAAGCATACACTGCAGCTTGGGATACGGACAAACGCACAGTCCACATCATGCCAGATTCTCCTGAGATCGTTCTGGCCAAGGCTAATGCCCTCAACATGAGTAATGTAAGCTTGATCATGGAAACTGATTAATCAACAGCTTCTCATAGTCAATATTGTTGATGCTTAATGATGATCAGTCTGTGAATATTTGTAAACACTCTTTTATTTCACTGTTATGTCACTTTTGTGTCTTTCCATAGAAACTTTACAAAGCCGGTGTTGTGGCGATGGCCAATAAGGGCCACAACCTTAAGGGAGATGCCATTTCAATTATTGCTGCCAAGTCTGGTACCACTATTGCCAGTAATGTAAGTTGTAATCTAGAATTAATGTTCACAGTATAGCTGCTAAAATTCAAAGTATAGAACATTACAGTTTCTGTGAGTGACAAAGTATGTGTTTGCTCACAGTACAAGTACAAGCTGGCTTACGAGAAGGCCAGAGGCCACCATGTTGGCTTCCGCAGCATCCAGGACGATCCTCTGCTGGTTCACTACATGGAGGTGGCTAAGCTGCAGAGCGACAAGAACTATAAGAAGGACTACCACAAGGCCAAGCTGAAGTATCACACCCCAGTGGACATGATGAGTGTGGTCCAGGCCAAGAAGGCCTCTGCTGTTCAAACCATGGCTGGATACAAGCAGATTACCTCCCACTACACCGTGCTGCCTGATGCCATGAACCTGCAACTGGCTCGTAACATGCAGTTCATTGCAAGTGATGTATGTAAAAAGTGAAATCAAAGTTTTATATTAATGTTACCATTACTGTATGTAGCTGTGTTGCAAATACTGTTTCTGTTGGTACCCCTCCTCAGAACCAGTACAAGAGTGAATATGAAAGCTTCATAAAGGGAATAGGATGGGTTCCTATTGGTTCACTGGATGTTGAGAGGGCAAGAATAGCCAACCGGATCTTCAGTGAGAAACAATATCGTCAGAGTCCTTCCAACTTGAAATTCACCAAAGACATGCAATCAATGGATGTGGCACTGGCCACTGCCAACAACCAGATTATGGATAAGGTACTAGATAAGACTTCCAATGAAATTACCAGAAATGTCCTATAAATTATGTGAAATCAAATCAAGTAAATTTTCGTTGTTTTTAGAAATCATACCTCAAAGCCTGGGAGAAGGACAAGACTTCGATCCACATCATGCCTGATGCAATGGACATTGTTCTGGCCAGAGGCAACAAGAAAAACTTCAGTGAGGTACAGTAAAAATCTATGTATCTTAAGTGCATACATTTTGTTTTGCATAGACCTCTATGTCCTGAAATTAGTACACTGAGCCCAGTTAAAATGTGTATTATCTGTCTCTTAAGAAACTGTACAAATTGGACAATGAGCTGTCCAAGAAGAAGGGCCATCATCTTCGTGGTGATGCCATTGCAGTCCAGGCTGCTAAGGCCTCCACCGTTATCGCTAGTGATGTAAGTATCTGACTGGTATTTCTATACTGTACTGTCTGAGTATAATTACATATCTTTACCCCTCACCAGATTTTAGTTATCAAAACCTTCACACTTGCTTCTTCCAGTACAAGTACAAGACAGGATACCGTAAGCAGGTCGGCCACCACATCGGTGCTCGCTGCGTTCAGGACGACCCTCTGCTCATGCTGGCTCTGAACTCAGCAAGGATTGCCAGTGATGCTCTGTACAAGAAGGACTTCAACAAGTCCAAGACCAAGTTCAACCTGCCAGTGGACATGATGGCATTTGAACTGGCCAAGAAGAACCAGATCCAGGTCAACCATGCCAACTACATCACCCGTTTGCACAACTGGACTTGCCTGCCAGACTCCAACGATGTCGTCCAGGCCAGACTTGCTTATGACATCCAGAGTGATGTGAGTAAATAAATTTTTGTCAAAATGACCATGTTTATGAATGTATATTTTTCCAATTTGGGACATTTCTCACAACCARAAACYCTTTTTGTTCTGTCCAGAATGTTTACAAGGAGGATCAGARAAYKATGCAGGGTATTGGATGGGTGCCTATAGGTTCACTGGATGTTGAGAARGCAAAGAAAGCTGGTGAGATCCTGAGTGAAAGAGGGTATCGTCAGCCCCCAAGCGACTTCAAGTTCAAGGTCACCACTGAGGACATGCCCATGGCTCTGGCTAAGGCCAATGCTGATGTTATGAACAAGGTATTTCTGTTGCAGAAACTAAAAAACAATCCAGCTGATTCTGTTCAAGACTTTCTCAACCTGATAAGAATTTGCTTTATAAATCACTTTTATGAGTTGTCTACTTAATGTTATACGCAGGGTATTTAATTATGAATGCATGTCAGTGACATCTTCATCTAGATATATATATTTTTTGTATAAAATCCTAACATCCTGTGAAAATTACTTTACAGAAAGCTTACCATCAAGCCTGGGAGAAAGACAAGACCACTATCCATCTCATGCCTGATGCTATGGATATTCTATTGGCCAAAGCAAACAAAGTCAACTACAGTTTGGTAAGTCCTTCTCAAACACTGTCAAAAAATTTAAGCTGTCACAGTTTCCACAATATACAACATACCTCATAATACTTTACCACTTTTCAGATAATGTTTAATGTTTTTTTTGTGTTTTTTTCCTTTATACAGAAAACTTACAAGCAGGCAAATGAAGAGGCCAAGAAGAAGGGATACGATCTGCGTAATGATGCCGTTTCCATTATTGCAGCAAGGGCCTCAAGGGATATTGCCAGCGATGTAAAATGATTAAACTTTCACTTTTTGTTATTAACACAAATAATATTTCATGTAACATATATGAGAAATAAATGACAGAAATAAAGATATACTTTACTATTTCATCCTAATAATTCATATTAGCAAAAGCTGAATTTATTATCTACATGATTACATGCTAAATAAATACTGGCATTTCTACTCAGCAAACTCTGAAAATTACATTTCTACTGTTATTATTGTTCTACTTGACATTCTGATCAGTTGTTTTGTCCTTTATTTGCAGTACAAGTACAAGACAGGATACCGTAAGCAGGTCGGCCACCACATCGGTGCTCGCTGCGTGCAGGACGACCCTCTGCTTGTGCTGGCTCTGAACTCAGCCAGGATTGCCAGTGATGCTCTGTACAAGAAGGACTTCAACAAGTCCAAGACCAAGTTCAACCTGCCAGTGGACATGATGGCGTTTGAACTGGCCAAGAAGAACCAGATCCAGGTCAACCACGCCAACTACATCACCCGTTTGCACCAGTGGACTTGCCTGCCAGACTCCA